TCGGGAGGCAGAGGCAGGCAGATCTGAGTCTGAGGCCAACCTGTTCTACAGAGTGAGTTCCAGGACAGCCAGGGCTACACATTAAAAACCCTGTCATTTATACATGGATCTAATCTACATGGGAAGTAGGAAAAGACAAGATCTCCTGAGTAAATTGGGAGCATGGGCACCATGGGAGAGGGTGGAAGGGGAGGGGAGAGAAAGAGAGGGGAGCAGAGAAAAATGTATAGCTCAATAAAATCAATAAATTTTTTTAAAAGACAAAAAAAAACATCTTGAAAAACAAAATAAGTAAATACTTAAAAATAAAAGTTTTAAATACCATTTAAAATACCAACCCAAAAACTATTAAAATGCCCATTTTAAAAACAGAAGTCTTTGATTTTAAGATGCCAATTTTCCTTATACATAATCTAAAGATTTAATCTCATTTAAAGTCTTATGGGTCTTTGTTCTTATTTTGGAAGTTGGAAAAATGATTCTAACGTTTATCTCCGACACAGTGGTAAAGCAGATGAGGTAGTCCACATTGAGCTGAGGCCTAGCTGCAAAGAATCCCGATCACCAAGTGGTCAACCTAGTATTACTGTTGCCTCCAACTCCCTGACCAAAGCATGTGCAGATCCTCTCTGAAGAACTGCAACACCAAAGGCCTTGAATGACCTTTATAGTTTCCACATATAATGTCTGACACAGAATAAATAAGTGACCAGGCAGGGTGGTGCAGGCCTTTAATCCCAGCACTTGGGAGGCAGAAGCTGGTAGATCTCTGTGAGTTCAAGGCCAGCCAGGATTACATAGTGAACCCCTATCTAAAATAAATACATAAATAAAATGGCTGTACAAGTACTCAAGGTGACCTCATCAAAACTGAGCACCTCTATATACTACAACAACAACAGGCTCGTCTTAAGACCCTTAGGGACTTTTAAGATATATTGATTAGCCAAAACATTCTTGAGAAAGAAAACTGGAGGACTCCAAGTACAATATTAAAATATTGTGACAGGGGCTGGCAGGATTGTCCAGTGGGCAAGGGTGGTTTTCACCAAGCAAGGTAGCCTAAGTTTGATTCCTGGATCTCACAGGGTGGAGAGAGCCAAGTCCTGCCAAGTTGTCCTCTGACCTCCATACAGGTCATAGCATGCACATCTCCCAACATATAAATATATGCTAAAATATTAAATTGTGGTAAAAATGTAAATGCAGACTATGGACCAAATGGAGTAGAAATACAGAGCCCAAAAATAAGCCCTCACACACATGGGCAAGTCACCAAGCCCATGCCATGAGGAAAAGAGAGCTTTTTACCATGTGAGATTAGAAAAACACAGAAAAAAAAAAACAAAACAGCACAAACAAAAACCAACAAACTCATACCAAACACAACATTAATGTAAAATAGATCAAAGACCTAAACATAAGGTAGGGACAATTCAGAAGAAAGCATGGGGAAGCTTCAGGGGTCTGGCAATGAATCCTTAGATATGACAACCAGAGAAAAAATACTTGTGACTTAATAAAGAATTAAAACGTTTCACACGTCAGCCCTCATGCTAGTGTAACACTGGGATGGCAGGGGCAAGGGAAGGAGACCCCACACCTGCTTAGACAGGATGCAGGAGGCTTCACAGAGAGTAGGCAAGTCATGTACCTCACGGACGGAGGACAGCATCTCTGGCGGGGAAGTAGCATGGCTCAGTGCACGATATATCCTAATTTAATACATGTAACTCAAGGTCCTAGAGCTAAAGGCAAGTACGGAGCTGGCCGTGGCAGTAGCATACGCCTGGAATCCCCGCCAGCATGGGTTACGTAAGAGTTCCAGGCCAGCCTGGGTTAGTTACATAAGAGTTCCAGGCCAGCCTGGGCCAGTGTGAGATCTTGCCACAAAACAAAATGAACCAAAACACACTGAAAAGGTCAGAAGGAATCTTTAAAGTACAGTAGAAATCATAGGGGAAGATGGTTAAAAACAGGTTTAAAATTTCAATACTATAACCAGAGAAACAAAATTTGATTAACTCTCATTAAAAGAAAAACATTTTAGACATAAAAACATTTGGATTTTTTCAAGCTTATTTTGCATAATTTACAGACACACCTAATAAAAAAACTGAAGGGAAATTCTACTAGTCAAATACTCAACAAGGGACAACTGGCTTAACCACCCTAATGTCGATGAGATAGATGTGGGGCGGTAGGGAGCACTATTGGGGACAAAGAAGACCACTATCACACAATGGTGAGGGGAATTTCACCAGGAAACAATCCATTATCTATTTACATGGACTTAATAATATTACTTCAAAATATTTTAAGCAAAAACTAGCAGAAACCCCCTGAAATTTCAAAATCGCAGAAGGAACTTTTGGCATAGCTCTTTAGCTATTGACAAACCACACAGATAAGAAACGCAGATAGAAGACTGGGGAAGTAAGAAGCTTGGACTAAGGGACACGTACAACCTGTACCTGTCACTCAGAACCCACATCCCCCTCTAGCATAGGTTGACCACTTCAAATTCTATCCATGAACCAGAATTCAAAGCTAATTTTAATACACACCAAAGATTTTTTTTTCTTTTTTTAAGACAGAGTCTCACATTGTCTCCCATGCGGGCCATGAAGCGGCAACACTTCTGTCTCCAGCCCCTGAGTACTGAGAATGTATGAGCACCACACTCAAGATAACATGGAGGAATTCATATCAGTCACTCAATTAAAATGCTAGCTTGAATCATTTACTTAAAGACTAACTAGATAAATTATATAAAGAAAACTAGAGTATGTTCTGAGAAAGTTCAGTGAGAAGTATAGACAAGAGGGAAATGCCATTTACTGTTTGCAGGGAGAGATTGTAGCAGATGGATAAAGAAGATTCAGACATTGCCATCTTCTTTCCTTCTTTTTTCTAATTCACTTAGCTATTTCACTAAGAATACTAATCACTGATTCAGACATAAAATTATTTCTAAGACTTCAGCATGGATAATGGATCATTGAGTCAACACAAGACACAAGACATGCCTACAGGTGGTGAGATAGAATGGGGCTATTTATATTCCAACAAGAGTGATGAGTAAATAAATGACCCAAATATAAAGTAATAACTTTTCCACGTTTCTGTAGAAGTCCACAGGGAGAAGAAGTTAGTGTGGATTTGTGATGGGCTGAAAGGTTAGGGAGAAAGTAGCCTTAAAAATATGAGTAGGTTTTGAATGTGGCTACGTAACAAGAGGCAGAATAGTTGGAAATTTAAGGTAAGCAACATAATCAAAGTGTATTTAGCACAAACAGTGCTTCTAGACCGAGCACTGACCAAGCATGAAGCAAAGGCCGCAAAGGTAGGTTTGGTACCAAATTATAAAAGGCTCTAAAAACTAGGCAAAACAGTGAAGCTTTGGCCCATAGGTAGTAGACGTGTAGGCACAGGGTCTGTTGTTCAAGTTTCTTGATGTATCCGGTGCAGTGATGTGGATTGCGGCTCCAGGAGTTAAGTCTGCAGACTGTGCCTGGGGTCATGGAGGTCTCAGCTAGGAGACCAATAGTGAAAACAGAAAGGAGTGGAGAGATTGAAGGACATAGGGCAAAGAAGAAATCCTGCCGACAACTGGCTGAACCAGCAATACCAGTCAGAAGTGAGTCTGTGTTTCTTGATGGCAAGATGACTGGGAATACAGGAAATATATGAAAGTGTGGAAAATGAATTTACCATCCTCAGATGTTGCTATTGCACTGTCGGTGAGAACAATATTAGAAATGTAGTCCTAAGGTCCTTGGAAAGCAATTATTTTATTATAAAATACATGATTTAAAATATAATATCATTCAACTCCCCTTGGCCTTCAGATGCCCTATTCCTTGACTTTCAGCCTTCCTTGTCCTCCCATCTCCTGCAGCTCGATCCCCCTTCCTCCAGGGTGTTGAACAACTCTTGGTCACATGGTTCACCCCCTGCCTGATGGGACCAGCCCCTCTAAGCTCTTACAGAGACACGATGTGCTGGCCAGTCTCCAGAGCCTTTATTCTCCACCCACCACGGACTCAGAGCATGGTGTCAGCTACTTAGGAATTGCTGCTCAAAAGTGGAAATCAAGAAGAAACTCAAAAGATTCTTAAATTTAGTATTTTACCAGGAAAACTGCCTGTTCTCGTTCATTGAAAATAACTTTTTGGAAATGTACTAAAAACACATTTATTCAAGTAAAAAAGCTGCAGGCAATGGAGCTTCCTTCCCATTTTAATGAATCTCCGAGTCCTGGTGTTTTTAATACTGTCTTGTTTTGAGACAGGGTCTCACTGTGGTAGCCTAGGCTGGCCTGGAACTCATAGAGATCTGCCTGCCTCAACCTCCCTAGTTCTGCTATTAAAGGAATGTTCCACCATGTCTGGCTTTAGTGCTGTCTTTTAACTCAGTGCAGACAACTCAGTGGTTCAAATGTTCTGATCACAATGTGATTAAGTCACACATTAGGGGATTATAACAGAGAAAAAAAAATACAGATGTAAAAAAAAGTCACAATGGAAAATTTAAACTCAAAACTGAATGGTTAGAATTTGGAGGATGAACTACAAAGTCTTTCCAATCTCCTGAAACAGTAGCTACTGTCTATTAGAAGAGATGGTCAAAGACCAGTTAGTTATTTTGTATTTACGTATTCTATATTAAAGCAAAACGTCTTGTTTGGCTTTTCATACTAATGATTTCTTGAGATGTTTTGCTAGCAATGTTGAACAGACCACTTTTCTGAAACTGCTACACTTCAGAAGGTTCTCGCAGTGTTCTTTATAATCTCTCTAGGCTGATAACCACGAACCCGTTTTGAAAATGAACACCACACTGAGACTGTTTTTCTTCCAGCATCGAATTGTCCTACATAAAGAGAACAGAGCATCCCCACTCCCCTTCACCTTGCCCTTTTTACCTTTAAAGGCCCTTCTCAAGGCCTCAGACAGTGAGAACTGCAGTCACCCTCTCCCCCAGTCCCTTTCACTCACCTACAGAATGGGCTGGGAATAGTAGGAATCACATAACATATCCCCCCATTCAGGCAAAATGACCTGAGACTGGGGCCACAGGGCTCCTCGTGATCTACAACACACATGCATATGAAATAGAGAGAGCGGGTTAACCTTTTCTGATGCCACCAGGAACTGGACTGTCTAACCTAAGAACGAATCAGCATTTACAAGAGAATGAAGTTTTCTTTTTCTCAGGTGAAAAAAATCTTACTCCTTATTTCCTAGGCCAGGGTGTCTATCCCTTTGAAAGAGAGATCATTTTGTTCTAAGGGTCTGGCTGCTGACAATAATAAATCTAGAAGCTGTATAGCAGAAATCAGAAATCTGCAGTCAGATTACAGCACAGTGATGAGGGAGGGGCTTGCTACAAAACAGCACAGTCTGGAGAGCCCGTGTGATACAGACACATCCTGAACAAAGCGGTATTTAGATTCTTACTCTGCTTTTTATGACTCAAATATATTTTAAAAATTCTGAAATTGTAGTGGAAAAAAATTAGATAATTGAAACAGACTCTAATTTCTAAAAAAAATCTTTACATATCAATGTCAAAACTCAAAGGAAATATAATTGAATAAGGTTTGATTTGCAAGGATATTTCAGCTAGAGCTTGAACTAGGGTCTTCAGGAAAACTGAAAACTTAAAACTGTTGCTTAAACACAGCCTAAATGTTCAGAATACCAAGGAAAGGAACCATGTCTTCTCTCCTGATTTCCTCTTTCCCTACTTTTCCTCTAGCTTTACTTTCTCTTTCACCTTTGACCTTTCTGTAATCAGTCTTCATCAACTACTATTTATTATGAGAAACTTGAGAACTTCTCCCTAAAGAGACCATCATATCGCCTTAAGATTGCATGTTGCTAGTTCCTTACTATTTCTGTCCAAAACATGATCTAGATTTATCTAACGTGCAAGAGAAAATGGTATTACTTCCATTTGGCATTCAATGTGGAATTAAAATATAATACGCCACTAAAAAGTCTTGCTAGTATATTGGCCTCTAAACTACTGATGCCTGTTAGGATAAAGTTGTAAGGAGCTCCAAATCCCAGTCTGAATTTTTAAAGTTTAAATTTTCCTTTTACTTTGAAATGAGAAAAAATATGTTCAGCTTCTCATGGCAACTATGAAAGCATATTTTAAAAAGTATAAAAAGTAAAGAGGGAAAAACCCCAGACATACAAAGGATTTAAGTGTTTAAAAAGAAAGTAAACTGGCCTAAACTAGTTTTTTTTTACTCCCTTCTCTTATACAATACCATGTTTCTTAATAATCTAACTTCTGACATTATGTAACAATTTAGGAGTGACTTGACTAAAATGTAATGCTAATTATCATTCCAACAGAACCAGGAACGGCAACATTTTAAGATTAAGGATGGAATGAGACAGCCACACTGGAATCAATGTCTTTGACTTTAACTGCATTACAAGTTACCTCTCGGTAACACCTGCTGTTTTATCAGTAAAGGAAACTTGTCTGACTTGAATTACTGCCTCTGAATATACTTTTATCCTGATTTCATTCAGTTCGTATTTGAGAAGTTGATACAAGAGAGAAAGCTAGAATCTGTCACTTTGTAAAAATAACAACAAAAACCAAACAAACAATAAAACATGTAAGTAAAAAGTAACATAGTTGTATGTTATAGAGGTCTTTTAAAACTAGAATGTTCTGGAAGACTTTACATGGGAGACAATATAACTTTATATCAATATACATTTGCTGTTTTATTGCTAAGCAAAACTCACACATAGACAAAAAGTATGAGCTTACAAGAAATTACCTGTTGGCATCTTAATTTTTAAATAGCTTCATTCTTGGTGAAAGGATTAGGGTTGAAAGACAGCACCTAAAATAATTTAAAATTTATATTTTAGGGGAAATTATCTTGCTTTTGAGGGCATTATAAAGTGTCAAATGTTCAATCAGCAAAACTAAAATGTTGAAAAAACGTGCATGACAGAATTTGAGTGTCTTAGCTACACACATTCCGCTGAAACATGAATCCAACAAACAAAGGCCAGCGCTAAGGTTAGCTTTGGGTAAGGCTTCAGTGTTGCCGAACGTGCATGAAGACGTCAGCAGCATGGTCGATTGAGTCATTTCGGAGCATCTGTGCTTTTCCATGAGGCTTCTCAGAAAGCTAACTTCCCAGAAGAACCCATACCTCCCAGTTTTCCAACTTGTTGAAAATGGGTCCTCCTTGGAGAAAAATCTCAAGAGCACGAAAAAGTTTTGCACTTCGGTTACAATGGTAAAACTTTTCTAAGTGCTCTTCCATGTCTAGTAGAGGTCGCACACCCTGCCTGTCAATCCACTGACACATGCCTTGCTTTAAACAGCGCCTGCCATTTGGCAAGGCAAGGTAAATAAGGGGACTTGTGTGTGACATTTGCTACTCTAACAGAAACAAAGGCTTCGGAAAAGAGCTGAAGCTGTCATACTTACATCGTGACGGCAGGTTCCTGACTTAGTACAGACACTGCAGTGAACGCTTAATCCACTGCTTCAGACAAGAACAGGTGCAATATCAAAGTCTTCGCCTGACCAATCTCTTTTACAGTCAGATGGGGGTGAGGGAGAGAGGGAGGGAGGGAGAAGGGGGAAGGGAGAAAGAGAGAAACAATCAAGAACTAACACATAGTAGAGTAAAAGTATATCAACTGATTCCTTCTTTTTTTTTTCTCCCCCACAACGAACAGGGCTTACCTCAGCAAACATTTATATTCCCACACAAAAGCAAATTTTGCTAGACATGCAGCATTTCACAAGTTTTTGAATACTGAGCACTTCGGCAGCGGTGACTTGCACTTTACAACAAAATCAAAAATCTGATTTATGTCCCTTCAGTGTGGGCGAGGTCAAGGCAGACCAAGGTGTGCACAGAGGTCAGGAGCAGGCAGCTGAGGGAACCACTCCCACATATTTCCAAACTGCAAGCGGGCAGGATTTCACCCAGGAAGTTTGCTGCACTAGGTGGCACCCTAAAGCACGGTCCAAGTTTCAGAGTTATGAAATTGAGCTGCTTTCTTTAGAGTCTTTACTCATCTCTGCGTGCCCTGCTAACTTGCGAGTGTTATGTAAGCTTGTGGAAAAAAGCATTTTGATGCGAAACTAATGGGCAGGCGAACTACAAGGCTTAAAAAATAATTCCCTTCTAGACTATGTAATATTTATACATAATGACTTGGACCTACAAAACTGAAGGCAACAATAGCTGTAACTGAGCTCACCCCTATGTGCCAGCCGGGGATGGTGTAATTAGTGGGTCTGATAATATAAGCTACCTGAGAACCGAGACAAAGCCATTTGAGCACGCTGCCGCGGTCTCCTTGAATCCTGGTGTGTCCAGTCCTGTGGTGTCTGGAGAATGCTGTCTCCTTGGAGCCATCCGTCACCTCTGGCTCTTACAATCTTTCCACCATCTTCAGTGCATGCGATCCCTGAGCCTCATATATATACTAAGAAAAGTTCCAAAAACCATGTTTTAAAATATCAATCTATAGATCTGTCTAAATGAAATCTGGGTGTTTCCTTCACATAATTATCTACAGTATACTAAGCATTTGGATGGTGATGTTTTCTACAAATCACAATTCAGATAACATCATTAGTTCATGGGTACAAAACACAGAGACAAACACATTTGTTCTCTAATATATATAGCTATCGTCAAAAGCTTACTATATATATATATATAATATTATATATATATAGTAAGCTTTTGACTATAGATTTATTTTCATTGCCACATATTATCTCCCACATTCAAAGGAAATTTTTATAGCTATAGTAATTACATACATATGTACATATATATACATAAATCATTTTAGCATACAGTATTTGAAACTAAAAATGAGATGATAAAAATATCCTTCACTATTTTATTTGAATTAGGAAGCTATTATACTGTCAATAGTTTTCATATGTCAATATATTAATATAGGAATGAGCACTAAAGATCATGTGGGAAATCACGTGGCTTTTCGCCATTCAAGATGCATTTATTAAGAGAAATATTACAATTTGTACTGAGTATCATTTATACACTAAAAATTAGTAGCAAGGAGAACTATGTGATTCTTTATTTTATCATTTAAGACAGAGTCTTGCTGTATAGCCCAGGCTTGCCTAAAAATTGTAGTCCTTTTGCCTTAAACTCCCAAATGCTGAGTTTGCAGATGTGAGCTACCTGGATGCATGTGATTCCATCTTAGAAAATAGGATTTCCAAGCTGGCATTTCACTGAATGGAAGCCTTGGTACTTAAGAACAATGTCTCCATTTACTGTGAACACGTGTGCTAAGTGGTGAGCTCTTTTAAACAAATGCCCTCCTCCTGCTGGACACAGGAACGACAAGCATAAACGAGTAACTCTGTGTCTGGCTGAGTCATTGTTGTGCTTTGGATCTTAGGCTTATGTGTTGGATGGTTGGTTCCTATCTGATGGCACGGCTGGGAGGTGTCGGAGCCTTTAGGAGATGGGACCTAGTGGAGGGAGTTAGTCCGTTTGAGATGGCCCTTAGTGCATCTCACAGGTACATAGCGACCCTGGCCCTTCCTGCTTCCTGGACACCGAGATGAAGGGCTTTGCTCCATGTTCTCTGAGGTGATGTTCTGTCTCCCACAGGCCCAAAAGTAACAGTGCCAACTAACTACGGACCAAGGCTGTGAGCCAAAATAAACAACCTCTTTATTTTACTTTTCTCAGTGTTTCCATAGTGACAGAAAGCTGAACAAAAACTCACACGTGAGATTTTTACTTAAAACAAGGATAATTCCATGTGAGTCAATCTACAATTCTTGCCAATTCCTATGTATGTGTGCTATTTTATTATTTAAGACAGACTCTTGTTGTGTAGCCCATGCTGTATAGCACTACAGAAGCACACATCAAACCCAATAATATGGGTTAACTAGTGAGGAGAAGTGAGCGACTCCAAAAGCAGTGTTATTTTTAAGTAACCTTGGGGAAAAAAGAAGCATTTGTAAGCAGAAATGAATGAACATTACACACAATGTCCAAAAGCACAAAAAGCCAAGGTGGTCAACCAGTTGTTGGCAGGCCCGAGGCCGGGATGTGTTCGGGGACATATGTGGTAGGTTACAGTTCACAGGAGTGTGAGTTTGGTGGAGAAGGCAGTTCCAGGAACAAGGAAGGTGGACCCCAGGCATAAACATCATCCGAAGAGCAGCAGGAAGTCCCTGAAGAGTCTTTGGCAATGGAGTTGCATGGTCATATTGGCAAGTTAGGAAGTTCATTTTAATGATAGTATAGAAAATATTTGGCATCAGAAAAATATTATTAATTTTAGTAATCAAGTATAGTGGAGAAGTAAAGTAAATGGAAATCAGGATAAGGAACAGCAATTAAAAGGTATCCTTAAGAGGCACACCATAGAAAGCAGAGTAAGGAAGAAAAGAATCAAAGGTGGTTTTCAAATGCTGCTGCAATTAAACACAGTCTAACTATCAGGTAGATGAACTGACGAGAAGCCTCCTCAGACCAACTTGAATCGCTAAATCACAACAGTGCCAATATCAAGTTCTGACAAGGATACAGAGAAACCAGGACCCACACTCATGGCTGGCGAAACTATGAAATAGTACATCTACTTTGGGAAATACTTTGGGAGTTCTTGAAAAAGTTAAACACAAGGGCTGGGAATACAACTCAGTGACAGAGTGCTTGCAAGGCCAGCAAGTCAATTCCCAGGGCCACAGGGGAAAAAAGTTAAGTATACACTAAGCATATAAATGCATATGAAAGAAATGAAAGCACAGGTCTACACGAAGACCTTTATGCAAGTTTTCAAAACAGCTCCATTCTTGCTTTCCTCAAACTACAAAGTATCCACACATCCATCAGCTGACAAGGATAAACAAGCTGTGGGGCGAGCACGCAATGGAACACTGCTCATATATGTTAAGACAAGGATGAACTTAAACATGCTAAGTGAAAAGGTGAGTTACAGAAAAGCACACATGGTTTTACTTATGTGAAATGCATAGAGAGGCAAATCTGTAGAGACAACAGTAGAGTAGTAGCTGCCTGGGCTAGAACCATAAGCTAGAGGTGAATATGAGCAATCTTTTCGGAGAGACAAAACTGTTACAGAACTGGGTTATGGAAATGGCTATACAACTCTGTAAATGTAAAAATGTCACAGAATGACTCATGTGTAATTCTACTGTCGAAGACAAGAGAATACAGAAATATAATCCATGAGTAAGATAATGATTCTTACCTGAAATACTGTAATGTTTTGAAGGAAAATGGCCCCCATAGACTCATTGAGGGCATTATTGGAGATTTCTACTTTTGGGAGGAAGTGTGTTACAGGAAGAGGAAGGGGGGCTTTGAGGTTTCAAAAGCTCAAGCCAGGCCTAGTGGATATGGTCTCTTCCTGCTGCCCTAGAAATCCAGGTGTAGAATCTCAGCTACCTCTCCAGAGCCATGTCTGTCTGCTTGTTGCTATGCTTCCCACCATGACATTGGACTAAACCTCTGAAACTGTGGCCAGTTCTAATGAAATGTTTTCCTTTATTAGAGTTGCTGTGGTCATGGTGTCTTCTCTTCACAGCATAAGAAACCTTAAGACAGACATACTAAGCTTTTAAAAGACTTATTCATGTGGGCGGAGGGAGCATGCCATGTGTGAAAAAGTACCTGCAGAGTCTAGAGCAGTGGTTCTCAGCCTTAATGCTGTGACCCTTTAATACAGTTCTCCAAGTTATGGTGAACCCCAACCATAAATTGCTACTTTATAACTGTAATTTTGGTACCACTATGAATCGTAAAGATCTGATATGCAACCCCCAAAGGGGTTACGATCCGGTTGAAAACCACAGGCCTAGAAGACGGCATCGGATCCCCTGGAGCTGTAGTCAGTTGAGAGCATCACACCATGGTGCTGGGAACCAAACTTGGGTCCTCTGGAAGAGCATCAAGTGGTCTCAATGCCACCTCTCCTGCTCCCTAGGCATTAGTATGTCTTCAAGTGCCCTGAGGACATACAGGAGTCTGAAAATGCAGGTCTCCCACTCAGGAAACCTTATTAAGACCAGAGAAGGTGGCCTCTGGGCTTGGATCCTTTATTATGCATGTGTGTGACAGGCCAGGTACTGTCTACTGCACTGAACACTGGTGGTTGAAGCAGGGCCAAGAAAGCAGAAGAACAAGAGAAAAGCCATAGTCCCTCTCCCCAGCGGCGAGCTCTTTCTAACAGATTCCCAGTGTTTACCTCTATAATTCAGATGTAAAACCTCATTTCTGTGTCTATCACTCTAGACAAGGTCCAGTCTCTTAACACTATCCCACACTTCTTTAAACCTTTCTTCGTTTCAACATTTAATAAGTTACTTGTTTCTCCTCTTGGCAACACTTGTAATTTCAAATGAGATAGGTGGTCCCTTGGTATTTGCCAGGGATTGAGTCTAGGATTTCTTTTTCTTTTTTTTTTTTTTTTCGAGACAAGGTTTCTCTGTGTAGCTTTGGTGCCTGTTCTGGCACTAGCTCTGTAGACCAGGCAGGCCTTGAACTCACAGAGATACGCCTGCTGGAATCAAAGGCGGGCGCCACCACCACCTGGCTTGGGTCCAGGACTTCTTACAAAGACCACAATCCATGAGCACATTTCCTATGTGCATCCTTTTTTGTATATTTTAATCTTTTCCAGATGACTTACAATATCTAACCTAACACAATGCCAATACTATGTAGGTAGTGGGAACAGGATCTTGCCCAAGAAATAAACCTCTACACGGTCAACACAGATGTAACTTCTCCTGAGTGGATCCACATGTGTAGAGCCCAGCAAGCATGG